CAGGGGCTGCACTGAGCTAAGATCACACCACTGCACTGCGGCCTGGGCAACAGAGTGAGACTGTGTCTCAGAAAAAGAAAAAACAAAAACAACAGAACACTCTTAAGAAGAGGTAGGAGAGGTGGAGATTTTAGAAGGGAGTGATCACGCCACAGGGAGGGCAGAGCGAAGGCTGTGGACGTGAATTCCAGCTTCCTCACTATCCGCTGTGGTCCTCAGGCACCTGACTCTCCCCTCTCAGTCCATCTCAGGAAAACCTGAGATGAGGAACGATGACTACCTGCCTTATCTGCCTTGCAGGGCAGCTTCCTAGAAGTTATGATGTCATTATCATTAGTCTGGCTGCCTAACCCGGCCAAGTCCCAGTCTTTCCTCACTGTGTTAAGTTTCTGGCTCCTTGCCCAAGCTGGGTACAATGTCCCGTACAACGGGGAAGCCTGATAAACACGATGTGATATCCCTGGATGCAGCTACACACCTCCAGGACAACTCTGACCACCCAGCAGCCAAGTCCCAGCCTGACGTCGCCCTGGGGGAGGGGAGCTGCAGAGTGCACACAGGTCTTGCTAGGACAAAGACAGGCTGGAATGAAAAAAAAAATCAGCCATAGGTGGCCCAATTTGTATAAGCTGATCCAGGGCACTGCCTCTCTGAGTTACATAAAACACAAGATGCAAGAAACCAACCACTTGGAAAAGGGGCATGGTGTCCAGCATGAAATGGATTCCAGCTGGGACAACAGGCGCCCAACTTCCACTTAAGGATACGGGGCAAAGCTGTTTCCGGCTACAGCCATGGCTATTCTTGCCCCAAGCCAGGAAATACCCTGGTTTGGCATCTTGAACAGAACTTGGACTGTGCCCAAAGCATCCTCCTTATGCAGCCCTGAGTCCTGTGTGCCGCTTTCACTTCTGTTCCCAGACTATCACAACTTCTGGCTGTTTTAATTTCTAAGGCTTTGCTGGATTTTGCCAAGATCAAACTCCTTTGATGGTGTCTGGCTTCTGATCCCAGAGGTCCCCTGACAGCTCTCTCTTGTAAAGAGCTGAAAACCTATCAAAGCAAAGTGGCTCACACCTGTAATCGAGGCTGAGGCGGGTGGATTACTTGAGGTCAGGAGTTCGAGACCAGTCTGGCAACATGGTGAAACCCTGTCTCTACTAAAAATACAAAAAAACTAGCCAGGCATGGTGGTGCACACCTGTAGTCCCAGCTACTTGGGAGGCTGAGGCAGGAGAATCGCTGGAACCGGGAGGTGGAGGTTGCAGTGAGCCGAGGTTGTGCCACTGCACTCCAACCTGGGTGATACAGCGAGACTCCATCTCAAAGAAAAAGGAAGTGAAAACCTATCAGATAGCGTTCCAATCTGCTCCTAGTCCCACTGGACACTAGACACACATGGGGTGTCTGGCCAAGATGTGACCAAGCCATTACCTACCAGCAAACCCAGGTAGGGAATCAAAACGGGGAGGAAAATTGGATCCGAAAGGGACAACAGTTCCTAAGAGCACACAGCAGAGATCACGGACACATACTCCACACACCATTGCCCACAGGGTGACTGCAGAACATGAGTAGTAAAAGGCCACTGGAGGCCTCTACACTTCCCTATTTGACAGGAAGCCAGGCAGCCTGCAGACCAGGATCCTGACCACGTCACCAGCTGGCAACAGGGAGGAACCCCCTGGAGCTCCCATCTGCCCAGAGTCCCTGCCCGGGGTTACCTTGGTGCTCTGCTTCTCCTTCATAATGATCCGGGACAGGAGGACCACCCAGATGGGCATGGTGGCCTTGACTGCAAAGAAAGGGAAGGGCACTCAGGGGGCTGCCTGAGTTCCAGGGCCCAACCTGTTCCACCTCCACGGCGGGATGGGAGGGCTTGGCAGCCCCTGACCTCGTCACCCCTTACCTTTCAGTAGGTAGAGAAAGCTCTCTTCTCAGCCCCTTTTCTCCCTGAGAACCCTGTGCGTGTCCCTCCCCTAGCAAAATCCTTGGCAGCCCCTGTGCTGACTACTGAGCCCGGCAGGACGCCCCCGGCCCGGCGCACTCCTGTCCATGCGCCCAAACCCCAAGCGGCGCGCCCGGGCCGCCGCCCCTCAGGCCGGACGCGGAACCTACCGGTGTGTGCATAGGACACGGGCACCTTCCAGATGCTGACATGCGCTGATACAGATGCGAAGTACTTGCCGAAAGCAAGCGGCAGCACGTAGCGCGGGTAGAAGCGCGGCGGCAGGAGCGGGCCGGGAGACGGATGCGGACTGGGCCCGGGGCCTGAGACGGGCGGCGCGGGGGGCACGCGCCAGGCGCGCAGCAGCGGCGGGAGCCCCGCGCACAGCGCCAGGATGTGGCACAGAGACACGGTCACCGGGAACGGGAAGGCGCTCAGAATCACCTTGTTGACCACGTTGCCGCCCGCGCTCAGCGCGTACCACAACAGGCACAGCGCCGCCACCCGCGCGCCCTCGCGTGCCCCGCCACCGCCGCTCGCTGCAGCCGGGCCCCCGGCACCGGGGCCCGAGCCCACCGCAGCCGCCGCCATCCTGTCCGAGCAGCCGCCTCTTCCCGCCCGTCCGACTGCCCGACGCCGGGCGGGGGCGGGGCTGGGCAGGGGCGGGCGCTCCGGTCTACGCCGCTTTCCATTGGTTGCTGACTCTTACGTCATCCCCCCGCGCCGGTCGACGCTCCAGCCACCACGTCTCGAGTGCAGGCCCCGCCCACTGTAGATGCGCTTCCGGCAAGGGCGGAGCCGAGGCCGGAAGCGGAAGAAGGGGACGCAGACCGGGATCCAAGCTGTGCCACCCGAGACGTGGGCGGTCCCGGTGACCCGGAGCCAGAGCTCGAGCGGGACTGGCGAGCAGAAGTGAGGAGGGCTTCGCCTCGTCGGCGTCTGTGCGTGGGCCAAACATCAGGGCCTCGACGAGGGGTACATGGGCACCCCCTAACTGGATTCCTGATTCCTAGTGGCTGGCGGCGGCGGACACCTAAGGTAAAAGAACTTTTGGGGAAAGAAACCAGATGTGAAAAGCTCTTGGGTTAAACTCGCTCTGCAAACTGGGGGCGCACGCCCGTGGCCAGCTCTGGCAGTGGGACTATCCCGGAGCGCCTGGTCCCTGAAATCGTGTTCTGGAAACCACCGCGACGTGCGTAGTTCTCGGGCCTGGCCCTGGTGTCATTCCACCGAATCCTAGGAAGGCCGTGCGGTAGGTATCACTATCCCCATTTCACAGACCGAAGTCCAGAATGGGGAAGCTACTTGTCTTAGGCTCCCCTGCCACTCGGGACCGTGGCCATGACAGCGTCCATGGACACCTGTCTCCAAGGCTCTGCAGAAGGAGAAGGTGCCAAGCCCTGATCCCTGATGCCCAAGGACCAAGAGGGATGGACCAGCCCCTGGCCCCAGTGGAGGAAAACAAGTCGAGGTTTTCAGGAAGATGAACTTATATTAATTCAAGGACAATGATTTGTTCCCCAAATCGTGTGCCTCCAACTTTTTCGGGGAGAGGGTGTTAAAATGTCGTTATAGTGTTTTTACTTGTCAAATTAGAAGCAGTAACCTTGGGCAGGGCGACTCAAGCTTGTAATCCCAGCACTTTGGGAGGCCAAGGGGGGCGGATTGCTTGAGCTCAGATGTTGGAGATCAGCCTGAGCAACATGGCAAAACCTTGTCTTTGCAAAAAACACCAAAATTAGCCACGCGTGGTGGTGCACGCCTGTGGTCCCCACTCCTAGGGAGGCTGAGGCTGGTTTGATCCCAGGTCAAGGCTGCAGTGAGCTATAACGGCGCCACTGCACTCCAGCCTGGGTGACAGGTCTCAAAGAAGAAAGCAGCATCCCGACTTGGTCCCCCAAATGTAGGGTATCTTAGCTTATCCTTGCCTTCTCAAAGGTAGGCAACATTAGTGCCCTAGGCCCTCCTGGATACATGGAGACAGGTGTGGTAGTCCCTGCAGGCAGGGGCTGGGGGAGCTGCGGCACATCCCAAAGCTTGAGAGATGCCGGTAGGAAGCCAAGCTCTGCACCCTAATATCGTCCAGCTGTGCCCTCTGTGTATCAGAGCAATGTCACATCCTTGGGACACCATGTATCAGCAGAGCTGTTAAACACAGGCACAGTGGTATAACTACAGGCACCCTACAGCGCAGCCGAGTGTCAGATACTTCCACTGACATGCTTGTAGTTCTTTTAACTCTGGGGTATTTTAACCCCACAAATGGGGACATGTGCACAGGAGTGAAGAGATGGTTTGGACACACAGCTAGTGGGTGGCAGCCTGGGTTCAACCTCATCCTGCCTTCAAAGCCACTTCACCCATGGCCTTTTCTTGGGGAAGGGGTATGTTCTGGCACCATGCTTTTGCCAGAAATCCCTGCTAGCTCTGAAACTGGCTTTGGGTTGAATGTAGTCTTACAGGCTGCAAGGAACCCTTGGTTTGCTCCGTAGGGCTGTATGTCTTAAGGTGTAGCTGTTTCTTCATTTGTGAAATTAAGCAGATATAGATGACCTATTCTAAAGTGAGAAACTAGAAAAACAGTCGTAGCTTACAGTTTCAGGAATGAGGGGCAACTAGAAGATTACCTCTCTATAGCCAAGAGAGACAATTTTTTTTGGTGTCGGCACCAACCAGCTAGTGAGGCAGCTGAGGGTTAGGGCCAAGGGGTGGGCTGCTGGACACACACATAGCTCTGAGCCTCTGGGCCATACCTTGTAAGAACTAGGTATTTTGTTGAGGTGGGTGTAGTCAGAGACCTGTGCTATGGAGCCTGCTCTCTAGGCCAGGTAAGGTCTGGGTGAGACAAGATGAAAGTTCCTGAATGTGCCCCTGAATGAATAAAAGGCTCCTCCCAAATGCAGCAGCAGCTAACAGGTGGACTTCAAGGCTGTGCCCTGCCCTGCCTCCCTACATCCCAGCTGTTGGGGTCTAGGTCTTCCTGGCTAATCCACAATCCGGGAAAGGGCGATTTGGCTGTGAAGGTCCAAATGAGAAAAGATTCTCATACTGGTTTGTGCAAATGTTTTTTTTTTATTTCCACATTTATATCACAAGGTGTCCACTTACTGGACCAAATAGCAAAGTTGCTCCCTTCTGCGTCCTGAGAACACAGAAGTCTAGGTTCTGTACATTCACTAAGGCTCCTTGTTTTTGCAAATCGCGTTTATGACAAATAACCATAAGGCAAACGAATCTAAAGGAATGGTTATGAGTGTTTCCAGCGTACAGACAGGTCTGCCCTCTCGCCCCACAGTACAGCATAAAACCAGTAGCACCCACAGTAACTTTTGTGTTGTTTAGGGGGGACTCTAGAAAGGTGAAGTTTTCTAGATGTGTACAGGAAGGGAAAAAAGGAAAGGGGGGAAGAAAGGAAAGGTTTTTTTGTCTGATGTTCTGATGGAAGAGGAGGAGTTAAACCCAAGAAAACTTAAATTTCTGCAGCATTTCTGTAAAAACTGGGTTATAACTGAAACCAGGTGGCTGCCCATGGAGTTGGGGTCACACTGGTTGGCCAGCTGGCCTGCCCGCCCAATGCCAGTGGCTCACCACAGCTGAGGAGCTTCTGGCACACGATGGACAACACTGGCCTGACAGTGGCTGGGTAGGGGCAAACAGAGGCCGCGGCATGGCCCACTGTCTCACAGACACTCAGGGCCAAATTAAAGAACAGGAAATGTAAGAGAGATGAGATGCGTGCTTCTGTTGCTGTGTTAAAGGTAACCTCTCCCACAGGTTTTCTGTGCCTGCCTGCAACTGAGGTCCCAGCTTTCAGGTGCTGGAAAGTGTCCGCACCTCTTCAGGGGTGAGGGACTAACGCTTTTTATAGCTGGTTTGCTATAGAGTTCTGAACTCACTTTGCCGTCCTTCCTTCCGCGCGGTCCTTCCTTCGCAATTTTGTTAGTAAACTGGTAGCAGCATTTCACAAAAGGAGAGTTTTGAGGGAAGGGCGCACAGAGAGACCGCGTGACTCCTGCCCCCGCCCTCCTGCCCGGGCCAGACTCCCCGAGTTCCCAGCCTCAGCTGGGCCCCGGCCACCCGCCCACCTGCCTGCCCGCCCGGCTTCTGCAAGATGGGAATGCACTTCGTGGCTGACGGGCCGGTCAGTCCAAGCAGACATAAGGCAGAATGTTCAAGCGCCCGTCGTCGCCGTGCGGATCGAGCGATATGCACTGCGTCCAGTCATACCAGTTACCCTGTGTGTCCTGACACCCGTTCACCCCTGGCCACTGGCTGGCCTGGATTCTGTTGAGATCGTCCTGTGTGACCTCCCGGGTCAGCCCAGGGAGGTCCGTGGGCGGGCTTTGAGGCACCAGCACGTGCAGCTGCCTGGCCCCTCGCCGGGTGCTCTCCTCCTGCTTCAGGTACTCAGACATGAAGTGGTGAGCCCCTGGGGTCTGTGCGCCCGACGATGACAGCAGGCTGCTCTGCCGGCTCAGGTAGGACTGGATGATCTCATTGCGTGACAGCTCCTTCCAGTTCGTCTGTTCGAAGGGGCTCTGGAGGCTGGCCTTGGCCTCCTGCTTGTCCAGCTCTGTCCTGGACGGCTGCTCCATGTGCACAGGGCTGTCTGCCCGCACTGGCTCTTTCTGGGTCAGAGGTTTGATCTGTCTTGTCATGGGGTCAAAGGTGAGCTTCCGCTCTTTTAACCGGACAGGCTTGACGCCCGCCTCGGCCACCTGCCCGTCCAAGTTAACTGTGTAGTCTCGAGGCCGGTACCTCTTCTTCTTTTTACTGTCCGAGCCCCCAGAGGAGGCAGCGTCACTGTCCGCCTTGGAGGAGTCTGGGGAGAAGCCCGCCCGGGACAGGAGGGGCTCGGCCGGGGATAGCCCGGCCTTGCAGCCTGGCCCCGCCAGCCGCTGGTGGCTCTCAGGCTGCTCAAGCCAGCGTACTGGGCTTTCCGAGCTGGACAGCAGCTCGAGCCGCCGCACAGGGGGTGTGGACGGCTGTGCCAGTGGAAGCGGTGACGGCACCTGTGTGGCATCAAGTGCCTGGGGCCGTGGTGAGGGGCTGGGCACAGAGCCCTTAGGTGCATATAAATTCTGCTGCCGGGCAAAGGAGCCCTCATGCCGTGAGTTCCGAGGACTGAAAGAGCAGCGAGGGGGCCCCTTGGGGTGGGGAGGCCCTGGAGTCTCGTCCACCCTGTCCAACTGCTGCAGCACCGAAGCCTTTGCCTGCAAGCAGGGCCCGGGGGGTTTGCTCAGGCCTGGGGAGCTGGTGTGCGGTCGCACGGCATTGATGGGGATCTTGCCACTGTGCTTGTCGTTCTCACCACGTTCCAGGCGGCTGCCCTCTGGGCCAGCATGCCCGCTGCCATCCAGGGAGCCGGGGAAACTCTCTGGGCTCCCACTGATCCCATTGGTGGGGAGGGGGGATGAGTTGGGGACCAGGGGGTCATGTGTAGCTTTGGAGACCTTGGGTGGCGGCCCCGGGTGGCCAAGGTCACGCTGGTCACCCCGGCGCTTGCGGCTGCCCAGCCTGTCCAGCCGCTGCCCAGGCAGCCTCTGGAGGTCGTTGCGGCTTTTCAGGTCGTGGATGCTCCTGGGCGGGCCAGCCGCCCCCACCTCCGGCCGGCAGTTGTGCGCGCCCCCGTTAGCAGAGCCAGTGGCCCCTGCCAGCCCCCGCAGTGCCACCTCATGCTGGTGCGCTGGCTCGATGAGCTTCTGCCAGCTCCGCAGCAGTTTCTTGGCCCGCTTGGCGAGCTCCTCGTTCTTGGTTTTCTTGCGGACGTCGTTGATGAGCTTCCCAAGCCGTGTTTCCTACAACCAGAAAGAGATGATGACATACTTTCAGGACAGGGGCTTCCCCACAAGCTGAGCCAGAAATGGTGGGAAGTGGCCCTGACTCTGAAATGATCCCATTCCCACTGAGCCCTAAACTACCAGCTCCCCTGACACAAAACCTCTGGGAATTTCTGGCTCTTTGTGACAATATTCTCAACCCAGTCCCCAGACCTTAAGGGTCACAGGTGGCTTCTTGGCAGCGCTTCCGGTGCCAGGAGGCTGTGGACCGTCAGGTCACTGCAAGGACACTGCCAGAGAGGCTTTCTGGGTGAGAGGGTGCCGTGGCCAAGGCGACAGCACAGAGGGCCTGCTTCAAGTGGACGGCTGGGGATGGTGCCACTCACTGGAGCCTCCCCCAATCCCCTACATGCCCGCAAAGTGGGCGTGGAAGATGGGATTAACACCAGTCCTGCAGTGCCCATGGGAGACCATGATCGTGGGGCACATGCTATGAGGGCACACTGCGTCTCTTGGTCCTCTGAAGCGAAGAGACTGATGTTCCCAAGGACCTGGGTTGGAGCCGTCCCCTGCCCCCCCGTTCTGCCTTCCCCCATGCTGGGGTCTGGGATACTCACCTCAAGCGCCTCTTTGGTAATGGGGTATTTCTCCAGGCTGGAGATGACTTCCAGCACCGCCACCATGTTCCGGATCTGTGGAAATAAAAAGCCATTTTTCAGGCCCCTGCCCTCTCTCCTGGGAGGCTGGGACACCCAGCCTCAGGCTGCTTGGGTCTCGCCCCAATCCCAGAGTAAGAGGAGCTGGGAGCACCGAAGCCCACACTCAGGTGGTCTCCTACCTGCTCCCTGGGCCAACCTGGCACCCAGTGCTCATCCCCACCTGCCGTCCGACCTCCTCTAGTACATGGTGTGCGGTCTGCCCCAAGCCCTTACACGGTGCATACCCTCCCACCTACCTGCTGAAACCCAGGTTATGAGATCAGAGCTGCTCCTGATAGTTAAGATGACCTCTACTCTGCCATATGATGGGGGTGGGAGAGGGGACACTGAAGAATTCATCGAATATAAAATGCACAAAGCTTAAAAGATCACTATATAGGCCAGGAGTGGAAGCTCATAACCTGTAATCTCAGCAGTTTGGGAGGCTGAGGCAGGCGGATCATGAGGTCAGGAGGTCGACACCAGCCTGGTCAACATAGTAAAACCCCGTTTCTACTAAAAATACAAAAATTAGTCAAGTGTGGTGGCATGTGCCTGTAGTCTCAGCTACTTGGGAGGCTGAGACAGGAGAATCGCTTGAACTCGGGAGGTGGAGGTTGCAGTGAGCCAAGATCGCGCCATTACACTCCAGCCTGGTGACAGAGCAAGACTCTATCGCAAAAACAAAAACCCAAACCAAAAAAGATCAATACATAATAAACTGGTCAATTTGAATGTATTAACAAGAACTCTTCATCCAAAGACACCACAAAGAGAGCAGAAAGTCACAAAGTGGGAAAAGACATAGGCCACAGGCCCCAAGGAGCTGTATCTAGAACATGCAGAATGCCTGTGGAGCGATGCAGCTGACCAGGAGCCCAGTGTAGAGCGGCCACCAGACAGGAACAGGGACAGCGCAGTGAAATGTCAGGGCTAATGCTCCACTTCTCAGCTTTATCAATAGCCAGGAAAACGCATGCTGAACCCACAAATGGATACGTGACATGCACCCCACTGGCAAAGAATGGTATTTGACAATACTAGGTACTTCGGGGGGTACAGCCGACTTTGGGGACAGCTGGGCTTTGGCAGAGTGAAGCACGCACACATCACATGACCAGGGAATCCTTCCCTTTTAGGATCTTGCTAGGAGCTGCACCTTCTTCTAAGTACTTGCCACACATTACTAACTCCTTTAATTGTTAGAGCAAGAATTCCTACAGCTCAACCACCACCTCCAGCAGCTACAGGTTTGTGGTGAGCTGGCTGGTGGGTGGAGGCCCAGGGGCCCTAGGGAAACCACAGTGAGATTACACAACTACCCCCCAGAACATGATGGAGGAGTAAAGTGGGCACACGACATGAATTAAACAGCAAAAAAAAGGCACACAAGGAAATGGCCATCTCTGACCCAGCCACTATAGTGTTTCCTTGCATTTTTTCCAAAAATATCCCTTGTGTATACAGGTGTATATATTTACACTTACCACACATTTCAAAACCAAACTGACTGTGGTTCTCAGCTTTGCCTTTTCTGTCTTAACATCAGAAATGTCTGGCTCCAAACAGAGCCCCTCATTTGGCTCACCATGCCTTCCAGAGGGGGGAAAAGGCCTGACTTGAATGTTGGGGAACACTTAGGCACTTTCCATTTGCCATTACAAAACAAGGCTGCAACTGACAACAGTGACAGACTTGACTCTGGGCTAGTGGAGGAGCTTGGGTTCCACATCTGTGCAGGGTGGTCACCTCGTACCCAGGGAGGCTGCTCCATTCCATTCCCACCAGGCCACATCACTGCCAAGACTGCGTGGCATGAGTTTCTGTAACACATGATCATAAACTTGGCATCTTACACAGCCACGTTTATCATCTCAGGCTCTAGGGCTCAGAAGTCAGGTCTAGGTCTCACTGGGCTGGGATCCTCATTTCCTGTTCCTTCAGATGTTAGCAGAGTTCAGCTCTTTACACTGCAGCAATGAGGCACCTGTTTTCTTGCTGGTTGCCATCCAGCGGCCATTCCCAGCTTCTGGAGGGCACTGCATCCCTCAGCTCACAGCCCCTCCCTCTATGCTCAAAGCCAGCTGCAGGCCGAGTCCTTACCTGGTATCTCTCTGGCTCAGCCGGGATAGGTGCCATCTCTAAGAACTCCCTGACTAGGTAGGGCTGGCCCAGATCTTGGGTCATCTCCCCATCTCCAGGCTCTTCCTTTAGTTTCATCTGTCATGTATGGTACGACATGCCCAGGCTCCAGGACTAGAACATGCACGTCCTTGAGGGCTGTTAATTGTGCTGGCCTCATGGATTCTGGCTTTTCTGCCCCACTTCCAGCGCAAGGCAGCCACTGCCCCTCCCTCCCCGTGTTGTCTCCTCTGGGTGTAAAGTTGCAGAGTGGCTACAGAGCTCCCACAAAGCTACCCCTCTGCCAATGGGCCCATTTACTCCTTGGCAACAACGGCCTTGCCTTGCAGTGTTCTCGTTCAGGGCTCCAAATGACCCTGAAAGCCCTACTTCCAGCTGCGTCAAGGTGGGGATTGGGGTGGGCGATGGTCTGAGGAGATGCAGTCCTGTCCTCACTCATTGTGCGATGGGCAGGGATTCAGTGAAGGAGAGGACTGCACAGGGAGGAGGCCAGTCCCAAACTGACAGCAAGGCCAGCCGCTCCTGGGCCAAGCACTCCAGCACCGACTCAGTCCCTGGGCTTGCCACATGGCTTCACCTCCACCCTGGTGACCTCACCCTTGTATATTTGGAGCTCTGGTTCGCCACATACTCCTGAACCAGCAGTCCTGCAGAACAGAACACTGCTCAGGCCCAGCTAGCCTGGTGGCACAAAGTGTCCTTGTCTTTGGGCAGACACCATCCTGCTGCCAGACAGGAGGGAGGAGGCAGAACACCTGGGCAACCCCAGGGTCTGGCACTGGGCTAGTGCCCTAGAAATCACTGCTGAACCAACAGCCAGCCCCAAGAGCCTCCTGGAAGCTGCATGGGAGCTGGGGACACGAGGTGAAGGTCTGAGGGCCCTGTGACTTGGAGCTGCCTTATGAGCCATACTTAAGCGTGTGCACAGAGGCCTTCAGCCTCCAGGAGGCCCTTGGGCTTTCAGCCCCAAGGGAAATGCTGCCTCCTTGGCAGTCCTCTTTCTGCCCCCAGCGTGTGAGCTGCTCGCCTGAGGAGTAGAGGAGCCCATTTGCTGTACCTGTAAGGTGCAAGAAACCCACAGTCCTACGCCATCAACAGGTGAACTCTGCCAACACCTGAGGGAGCAGGAAATGGATCCCCCAGAGAGGAGCACAGCCTGCTGCTGCCTGGATCCCAGCCCGATGAGCCTGGACCTGACTTCTGAGCCCTAGAGCCTGAGATGATAAATGTGTGTTGTGTAAGACAGAGAGAGGGTAAGTGCCCAATGTGGCCACTCCCTGGAGCCAGCAGAAGGTGGTCAGTGATGTCAGCAGAGCAAGGATGGGGTCGAGGTGAGGCTGCCCTGCCCTGCAACCTCTTGGGCCTTGATGTCAAGCAGTCTGAGCACTAGGTGGAGAGTGCCACCTGGGCATTCCAGACACAGTCGGGCCTCCCAAGCCCAGGAGGCAGATGCTGAGCAACGCAGCAAGGATTCCCTGCAAAGGGCCTGGCCCCAACTCCTTGCCCCGAGCCCAGGCACACTGAGAGAGAAGGCCCCACAAAGCCTCTTTACAGATGGCCACAGTCTGTCCCAAAGAACACTTAGCACCCAACTGGAGCAAAATGTAAGCTTGCTCCTGGCCCTGGGGACCCTGCCTTAACAACTAACTCTCTTCCACCCTGGAGTGGCAGGCCTCCCACCCTTGCTGGGGGTGCCCTCTGGGTGGCAGACACACTAGGACTCGGATATGGCTGAGGAGAGCCTCCTGCTCAGGCTCCAGGCCTGCTAAGTCCAGCATGAACCCTGGGGGCAGGCCACAGGGGTGGGCAGCACCCAAGGTGGCCTCCCAGGGAGGTCAAAAAAGGAGGAGGCAGAATGAGCTGTGTCCATCTGGGCTGGAGGCTGGAAAGCAGAAAAGTGCTGGAGAAGGATAGGCAGGGAGCTGTCCAGACAGCACCAAAGGCCTGCAGCAGCAGGGAGGGGCCGGGATGAGGACACTGGGAAGAAAAACAGACCCAAAAGACCCAAGGTAGCTCCTTCACAACCTGTCTTCTATCCACCTTAGCCACTGCCCCCACAGGCCACCTGCCTTTGCCCTGTTTGTGGGATGCCCTTGGCACCTATCCGTCCGTCTGGGGAAGTACACTAGATCCTAATCCCAGCGTAGACACAGTTTGACTCCACATGGGGAGCCACTCCAGGCGATGCCCTCAACGGATGGCTTTAGGGCAGCTCTTCGGGCTCGCCAGGGCCACATCTCTGGCCCACAGGCTAATTGCAGTGTCTTGCTGTCAGGAATAACCTGGCACATTGGAGGCCTCCTCCTCCTTTGGATTCTCCCTTGGGATTAGTTCCCAGTCCCAAAAAAAACTCTCAAAACACCGGCCAAGTGGCTTTCCCAAAAGGGCAGGAATCCCAACGGGAACTGCAGCCTCTCACTTCTCCACTACGGACTCCTCAATAGATGCAGGTGAGTCTGCACTTCCTTAACCATCATGAATACAAGTGCTGCCTTCCCTTTCTACCAACACTGACTGCCATGCCCACTTAATCTTCTTGTTTGGCCTCCTCATTGCTGCAGGAAGTGCCTGGGAAGGGCGAAGGTGTCAGGTAGGGGCGGGGGGTGCACCTCCATGCAGCTACTAGAAAGGCAGGGGTAAATGCAGCAGAGAGCACTCAGGAAGCAGGTGGGACCTCCCTGAGGTGCCTGTTCCAAAGGCATGCCGGCCAGGAAGTTAGCAGGTAGGACCAGGTGTGGCACAGGCATACATGCAGGTCCAGCCTAGCCGCCTGCGACAGGAGTGTTGATGGAACTGACTCCACTGTCACACCGAACACGTTCAGATCTTAGAATGGAGATCCATGAGGCATGATCAGGTACACATGGGCCAACAGGAAAGTGAATGTCAATCTCAGCTTTCTGCAATCTCAGAGAAACCAAGTGGGGAGGCCTGGTCTCAGGCCATGGGCATCACAGCTAGCACAGATACCGAGAAAGAATGGTTTGCATCCAGGCAGAGAGTGAACCAGGGGCCACCAGCACAGCCTTCAGCACACAGGCACCCACACCTCGGGGATGCCCCGGGAACACATGCATGGGGGCGTGGATGGGACAACTTCTCGCTCAAGACCACAGGAGGTCTGCATGTCCCAGGGCTCTTCTGTGGCCATCCTTCCACATGAGAACTAAGAAAGGCTTCCAGAAAGGCTGGCATCTTTTTCTCTGAGTGCCCCATAGCCTGTGCTAAGCCACAATTCCAGCCAGCCTAACTGGTGACATGTGCTGTTCTGCTCACAGGAAATGTGAAGAAGGTGGGGCTGGATATGCACAGAAACAGCCTGAGGGAGGGGCTGAAACCCCTCAGAAGCAGGCTGGGTCAGGCGCCTGGAGCTGCATGAGCATGTAACACCTCATTCTCCCACACCCCGGAAGCAGTGGGGAACCCTGTGTGTGACTTCACAGCACGCCATGCTCCTGATTAAATATCCACCACAAGTCCTCCACGTTCCTGAAAAATGATACAGTCTGAAATTTGCTACAGAATCATCCCCTAGGGTGAGTGACAGGAGGGGAAAGGTGAAACAAAGTCACATGGCTGTAAGCAGCCACCTACTGAAGCAGGATGGTTACCTTTCTCTACTTTTATGCTTGAAATCTGTCACAAATAAAGATGAGAAAATACGTCTATTTCCTAGCATTTGTTTGGGAGAGTTCACTGATCTAGAAGGACTGGCAGCCATCTAAAGGGGAAGTGAGCAAATACCTGTTCCCAGCTCCTCATAGTGGCTTCATGGTCTACTGTCTGGCCCCTGAGTAAGGTAGCAAGGGCGAGGGGCTGGGTAGGATGCCACCTCCCTCCATGTGAGCCTGTCTCAAGCTTCCTGAGTCGAACTGCACAACACCATCTATCTGGTGAGACCCCAGTAGCCCCTCACCAAACTCCCCCTACCCTGGTGCTGGGCTGCTGCTTAACAGACCCTGTGCAGAAACAGCAGGCAGCCCTGGGGCTGGAGAGGGGAGCTCTGAGTGCCCATGCCAGCTGTCCACATCGGTCCAACTCTCAGGTGGCCTCACGCCTCTCTTCTAAAGGAAGCCACAGGCCGAACCAGGGGCACGCGCTAGGTTGACAGTTCCTTTCTGCAGGGAGAGGCCTGACCTGCACCAGGAGGGAGCCCAGGACAACCATCACCACAGAAAGGACAGGCCCTCAAGTGGCCCAGACCAGGAGGGAGGAGTTGGCAAGGTGGGGTGGGGACTAGGTCACTCTATCCCGGAAGGGGAGAAACATAACAATGAGCCAACAGTAACCCAGGGAAAGGAGAGCCATCACTCCACGCCCTGCCCAGCCCCAGTCAGCACCACCTCCTGCCCAATCTACATCGTATAGTCTGTATAGCTCTGGGCAAGCTGAGCCACAGGACATGGTCGCTTAGAACTAACTTTCCAGGTTTCCCCCAAAGGCCAGCCGGTAGCACTCTTCTGTGGCCCCTGTGAAACCGTCACACCTCTGATCTCTAGACTGTCTTCCAAAAACCTACCTACGACAGGGCATGTGGAGTCACCTTTCCAACCAAACCCGTTGGCAAATATTTTAATTGGGCCTTGGCATGTGTCCGAGTTTTTCTTCTGTGAAGATCACTGGATCTGAGTGCAAAGCTGGGGCCTGCTCAGTGGAGTGGACCCGCTACCGACCAGCCTCTTCCTCGCTTTATTACAGGGGTGTGTAGGTAAAACCCGGCCCTGAGTAATTACTGCAGGGGATTTCCAGCCCCGGTCTGAAACAAGGAACTGAGACTGAGTTTGGAGTCCAAGTGGCCCCCCTTGGCTTGCCTCCCCATTTTCTCCACATCTGAAATGTTCCTACCCTGCCTGAGATCCCCAGCCTCTTGGGATGGCAGCTATGGTGGCAAAGGGGAAACTGTGTGCTGCCCAAGGTCTGACAAACCAACAGACCCAAGGGTGCTGAGCCTGGGCAGGCCCAACCAGGCACAACTCCCACTGGGCCACCACTGGTGGCTTACCCTGGGGCCAAGTTCTATATTTCATCCTCACGGGCCTGCTCTACAGATGAGGCAACTGATGGCCAGGAAGGTAATGGAGGTCCCGGGTAGACTAGAAGATGGTGAAACCTGGCTTTCCACTAGCCTGGCATGGCTGCCCAACACATAGGGCCCATCTGGTGCTTTGACTAAGTGGAGTGAAGGGTACCAGATGCCACCAGGCTGCAGTGATGTCAGCACTCTGCAAAGACTCTCCTGACTGCCCCTGCCCTGAAATGTACAGGTTACAAAGAGTTCCTTGAACCCCCATGGGGCTACCTCCATGCATGGGCCACCACAGCAAGGCTTCAGATGGCACTGGAGCCCGCTCCCCAACGGGCTGGCCCCAGGAACAGTGCACATGGAACACAGACTGCAGTAGCTCTGCACTCCCCCTGCCTCAGTGTCTGTCCACATCACCCTGGACAGTGGGCAGCACTGCCCTGGCAGCCTATGGGCCTACAACCGTGCCCCACAGCCCACATAACTTTCTCCTTGGGCTCTAAACAGCCCCTGCTGAGGCCTCAGTGGCAAAACACTTGTAAAAACTGGTTCACTTAAAAACCGACAATGGGGAACTCGTCATTTTTTTTTAAATTTTGTTTTATTTTAAAATGCAGAATGGTCTAGACAGTAATTTACAAAAACCACTTAAGCTCAAAGACTGAGGAAGTGTTCATCAGCAAGCAAGCTGTCCTTCCAAACCCAAACACGCCACAGATGGCACCCAGAAGCAGACAGTCTGCCTTCAATGTGCTAAGCATTCTAATGTCATCCACGGCTGAGTCACCTCGCCCACCCCCCAACCCCCAAAACACAGTCGTGTCTGCTGAGGACACACGGGTGAATCAGACGGGGCTTTGTCAGGAGAGTGTGTATCTGTGATTTGGTTCCCACCACACCAGGTCTTCCTGCTTCTGCATGTGTTCCCAGGCAGCTGGGACTCAAACTACCTCTGGTGCCAGTCAGTGCAAGAGGCGGCGCCTGTCTGCCCCCTGAGACCCCAGCTCTGCCCTCCTTCTCAACTCTGGAAAGCACATCCCTGAAGAGCGTGCTGCTGTGCTCACCCTCGGGCGGGCGCCACCCTGCATTCTCCACTCAGCCTCATGGGGCTGGTGCAGGTCCACCAGGTTCCACCTGTGACAACACCTTCCTCTAAGGGAACCTCATGGGAGCCTCAAACCCCAGGGGCAAAGTCTCAAATTCACAGCTCTCAGAGGAAAAATGACACTGGGGGACCAATGACGGGAGGGTGTATGTTCCAGCCACAGCCACCAAGCTCACCACTTGAAAAGCACTTCCTGCTGTGGCCCTCCTGCTGCCCGCAGGAGCAGCCGGCCACCTGAGTGGTGTGTCATGTCCACGTGGCCTTCCCTGTCCTGCAGCCACAGCTCCTGCAAAGCTTGGGCAAGTATGCAATCACACGCGGCAACTGGGCCCAGGGGACAGAAAATGCCACCTGGGAGTAGGCAGCATGCGGAGCCCTGACTGAATCCCACAAGCAGCTCAGAAAGAGGAAGCCCAGCTCAGAAAGGGCTTGGGGCAGCAGTGGGAGCTCTATCAGTAGGCATGGCTGACCTCTACATTGAGAGAAACCTACAGACCCAGCTGGGAGGCAGGCAGTGCTGCTGTCCACATCCACTGCCCCCAAAGCGTCCTTCCCTCCCACTTTGTTTCAGCAGCTCTTCCCAACCAAACTACCAACCTAGACTCTCCTGACCTCTGCTTCAGGTCTGCAGAACTTACAGTTCTTACTGCCATTCGGCCCTTTGTGAAGGCACAAGAGCTCTCAGTCCTCATCTGTAAATTGATTTGTTGCCATGCAGATACAACTGGAGTGCTGAGAAGCCAAGCGGAGTCCTCGGTGGGGGCTTCTCCCTCCCAGCCTCTCTCTTCTAGGAGCAGCCAGTAAGAATGCCAGCCACAGAAGACTGGAAATGACCCAACATCCGTGGGGGAAACACACACACAGTGCTCGGCCCATCCATGTTCCACCAAAGACAGAGCCCAAACAAGAACAAGCCGGCTTTTCAGGAATCAACAGAGAACAACCTTCAGGAGACTGCCAAGCACAGAGAAGCACACGACAGCGCACCCTATGCCGCCGCCTGGAAGAACCTAGCTCAGGCTGGGCAGACAAGGACCTGATGACAGTGGAGCCGTGCACAGCTGTAGCAGGGGACCGCACCCAGCCTCCAGAGCTGACGCAAGCAAGACCTATCTCTGGCCTGAGCACAGTTCCTCCTCTGAGAGCCTAAGAAAACCACGAGATGGTGTCTGCAGATCATGAATGGTGTGCTGGAGACCACGCCCCCAAGGGCCAGGTCACCAGGGCCCACACACTGCACTTTCTGCTTGCTGGGCTGCTCTGTAGTCTATAGGATCCGTTCAGGCAGGGCAGTGCCCAGCATGGCACCTGGAGGCAGCCTCAGAGGCCCCATTGAGAGAGGAAGCCAAAGGACAGCAGCCCCTTCACCTGCTGGCCCAAGTGGGTTGCTATAGAATCCTGAGAACTAGCAATATCCTAGAATTCCCCGAGAAAACGCACCAAATGCTCTCTGAGCACTGACTGCACGCAGGTGCTCCATCAAACTCCGGGCCCACTGGATGCTGGGAGAGGGTGTTAGGATCCCTGTGTACCGGCCCCGAGGAGTAGACAGAGACAGCCAAGGTCAAGAACAGAAGCAACAGATAAAATGCCACCATGGAGGCCCTCACCCAGGATGCCAGGAAACCCAGGGAGGACTATACTTGGCTCAGGTCCAGGGCTACCCCTTCCCCATAGCTCCAGGTCTCTGTGTGGAGCTGAAGGGACCGGAGTGGGAACAGGGGGCTTCTCAGTGGGTACTCCTGCAATAGGGCCCACCATGGAGAGAACCAAGGACACTGTCACCCATGAAACAGGCTGGTGACTCTGTGGATCCCACGTTAATCACCATTTAAGGATGGACACTCATGCTATGACCCAGCAATTCCACTCAGGGCAGCGCCAACAGAAATACACTCAGAGCAGTTGTATTCAGAACAGCCCCAACAGCCCACAGAACCACCAACAGAACGCCAAATAAATAAATCATGGTCTGTCCATTCAATGTTGAACAAACTGCTGCTACATATGACCTTAAAGACATCTCAAAACAATGTCAAGTCAAAGAGCCAGACACAAGAAAACTTTTTTTTGTCCTGGATTAAAAGGTCAAAAGCAGGCAAGACTTCTGGATGGAGAGAGTGGTCAGGGTAGTGGCAGGCAAGAGTGACTAGGAGAGGCTGTTGAGAATGGCTTCAGGGGAAAGGCTCTGTTCCTTGGCCTAAGTGGACTGGGCTTCTCAGGTGTGTTCATAAATATTCATCCAACTGTAAAACTTAGAACTTGTACACTTCTCTAGATGTATACTGTATTTTTAAAGGTTAAAAATAACCTGTGTGTGAATTCCATGATCTTAGAGGCCAGCACATCCTATAGAAGACATAGCTGCCAGGGTTGTGGAGGAGGGAGAGGTGTTGGCAAAGCAGCCCCTCAACTCCCCTTGGCCCAGACCCTCTGAGAGCCCCATAGAACGAGGTCTGAAAACAGCTTCAACACGAGCCCTGGCCATCTCCATGGCACACAGTGATGCAATGTGCACTGCACTTCACAGCTCACTGAGAAGCGTGTCTGCACTCTCCTGCTCTGGATGGGGCTGGGGAGGACAAGGGCACTCAAGCTTCCCCAGCAGGAGTAGCCCCAGGAAGAAGCAAGCACTAATGCTACTGGAAGGAGGCAGGCAGGCAGCCAGCACCCACTGCCTGGGCATGGTGCCAGCACCCTGCAGGGCACTGGGGTCTTGCCACACCATGGTCTCCCCTGAGACCATAGACACCCTCCCCTCTCCCCCCGCAAACCCCAACAGGTAGTAAGCCACTTTCCCAACCAAGAAGCCAGGGTGCCAGTTAGCTGGCCACAGGTTCATTACTAACCTGACCTGCTACCCCATGCAGCCAGCACTGCCTCCCTGCTCTACTGTGACACAGGAGACTTTGGGATGAGGCAAATCTGCACATCTACACGGCGGAAGAGGATGGTGAAGACATTCCTCTTCTACCCCTGAGAGGTTTTATTAGGAATAGATGTCCAATTTTGTCAAATGCTTTTCCTACATCTACTGGGATTATAAGGCTTTTTACTTCTGACCTTGTAATATGGTCAGTTATACAGATTTTCAAATGTTATCTGCCTCCCTTCTTTAATTTCTAGACTCCCTTTCTTTGCTACCTTGATTTTGGTGATGGTATCACAGGTGTAAGAGCCAGACACAAGAAAATTTACCAAATTATATACTTCCGATGTGCAGTTTATTGTATGTCAATTATACCTCAATAAAGCTATTAATGCCAGACGTGGTGGCTCACGCCTGTAATCCCAGCACTTTGGGAGGCGGAGGCAGGTGGATCAACTGAGGCCAGAAGTTTTAAGACCAGCCTGGGCAACATGATGAAACCTCGTCTCTACTAAAAATACAAAAAAAATTAGCTGGGCAGGAACCTATAATCACAGCTACTTGGGAGGCTGAGGCACAAGAATCACTTGAACCTGGGAGATGGAGGTTGCAGTGAGTGGAGATTGTGCCACTGCACTCCAGCCTGGGGTACTGAGTGAGACTTTCTACAAATAAAAATAAATAAATAATAAAACTATTAAAAAACACACATAGATGCAGACAGATGCAACAAGGTCCTAAAAAGGTAGGAGGGGTACTAGGCAGAGAGAAGGACTGCTTCTCTGTTAGAGAGAGGGGAACCAGACGCCACCTGGGTTTGTCCTCCCTGGGGATGGAAGGTGGGCCCTTTGGGGAGGCTCCTTCTCTACTCAGTAGAAGGAGAATGATTGTCGTATCTCGGATCTCAGAGGGACTGTATGGACTGAAACACAGACTTGAGAATGCATACAATGCACTCCTCATCTCAGACCAGACTCCTGCAGTCATCAATAGGCGCCTGCTTTTTCCTTCTGGGACACTCGGCATGCTCCCACAAACACCTGTGCATTGCATTGATTAAGCATCCTAATTGTAGCTTTGGAAAAAAGCTGTAGCTGAAGCTGGGTCACAGTGTCCTATGAGCTGTGAAATAAAATGCCAAACAACCACCAAGGCACTTCCCAAGGCTCAACTTAACACACACACTCCCTTGTAAGCCTACCTGTGGGGTTTGGTCATACTTCACCGGAGACCCAGATGAGGGAACCAACTTCCTACAGTCGGAGAAAACGCCAGCGGCTGCATACATCTGCAAAGTCTTAGGCAAACGACAGTCTGCTCTCCCCAAACACGGTGCACATAATGCTGCTGTATCCATCCTCCTGACACGAAAGCAGCCATGGTGCGTCTCGCAGATTCTTTTCCCTCCTAACTCCCCATGGTTTTCTCTTATGGGAATTAAACTCCTAGAGTGAGAAATCTCTCTGAAATCCTAACTTTCTCTTAGAGGGTTGATCTAGACCCTTCCTTTTCAAGTGTGGCCTCGGGGTCAACAGCACCAGCATCATTAGGGAGCTGCTTTGAAACGCACAATCCCCATGCACAATCCCCAGACCTCCTGCATCAGAAACTGCATTCCATTCCTACAAGCCCTCAAGGGATGATGGGCAGAGGCACTTCCCAAGGCTGTAGGCTCTGCTTGGCACCATGTGCCCAGCTGCAGCCCTGCCCCCTACTTCTGTGGCCAGCCAATCAGAGGCTCCCTGATAACATTCCTGGCACCACCTGCACCCTGCTTTCCAGAGCCCCTCTCACGTGTGACCTCATCCAATCCCTCTGACGACTGTAAACACCGAGGGGGTGTGATGTGCCCTTCCATCTGCAGGAAGGCACTGCAGAGTCCACACCATGACTCCACAGAGCCCACCAGGCACAGCTGTGGGGCTCTGTATGACACATGCCAATCTCAGAGAAAGCCCCTCCCAACGGTGTGTGACGGTCCAGACAAACCACAACAGGATAAAAGGACAGGAAATATCCAGGCTGGCGGGGCACGTACCTCCATCAACCAGCAATGCCCACTGTCAGGAACAATGGCACCTGGCAGAGGCTGGGGAGGTCCCAGAGAATGTTAGCAAATCAGGCCAGACTTGTCCCTTTCAAATAGAAGTTCAACAGCAGCAGGCCTCACACGCTCAGCTAGGCATGACATGTGGAGCCTGTCACCAGCTCCATAACCAGTGTCCCCGCCTTCATCCACTTGGCTCTCAGAGTTCCTGGCCAAAAAGGCACCTCCCTTTTTCTAAACCCCAAAGCCGGTGTTTCTAAGATAATTCCACTTCAGCTCCAACAAGGACTTGAGTAGCTTCTGCGGGCTAGACCAACGACCAGTTATTGCATTGGGGACATTTTCTAAGGGCAGATGATGGCTGTCTTGGTTCCAATCAACTGCCTCACAAACCACTGCCCTGGAATGCAACTGTTCCAAAGGCAGCATCATTCAACCTTCTGTATTAAAAACACAAGTCTATGAAAATAACAAATAGCAAAACCCCCAACTCACAGCTGAGCCTCCCACAGGACTGGCTGAATTCTGCTGTGCTTGGCTGGCACTGACTCTGTAGGTGGGCCATGAGGGCAACTGAAGCCCACCAATCCAAACATCACCCCCCACCCCCAGACCCCAGGAGGGCCACCAGTGCATGGCCTGCAGTGAGAAAAGAACAAGTCTCCCTACGACCCTCAGTGACATCTCACAGACCCGACAACCTGATGCCAAGGTGCCTATCTGAAGTCACTGCATATTTCATTGGCATCCTCTGCCCCAGGCTGTGCAGAGGGCAGGGCCAAATCATCGTTTCATCATTCACCAGGCCCGGAAAGCAAGCCCTTTCCAGCAAGGGAGGAGGAAGGGGGAGGGACGAGGGAGCTCCTCCCACCCACCCACCCACCTGCTCAGACTTTGTCTGCTGTCTTACATGTGGTCTAGCCTCCACCTGCAGGTCTGCTCCTCAGGTGCAGGGACCTTGGTTTTGTTCACTATTTCCTCCTAAGTGCCCAGAACAGTGCCTGGCCAGTAGCAAAGACTTGACAAATGCCAAATGATGGGTGGATGAAGTCCCTCATCCACAGATGCTGGCCAACATGTTGACTCCAATATTGAAAACATCTCGGGGGTCTCCCTCTGTGGCAAGTCAACACCTAGAGAGCAAACATGCTTCATCCCATTGTCAGCGGTCACCTGCACTGGCCACCCCAGTGGATCATGAGAACACAGTGACTCTTGGTGGTCCTCACAAAGCTCCATGAGAGTCCAGGCCAAGGGTGCCATCTCTGGGTGGGACCTGGAGATGCTGCTAGACAGAAGGCCACCTCTCCAGTCCCACCAAGGCTGTGGTCAGTGGTGGCACTGGTTCTGCTACTCTCTCAGGCAAACATGTTTGCTCAGCAGGGCTCAAAATGTGTTGAGAGAGCCTTCGTTTTCAATGCAGAGGTCCTGGAAGTTACTATGACCACAAAAACTTTCTCCCGTTTACCTTCTTGGCAACTCTAAAGCTATTCCAAATGGTTACATAAGGATGGAGAAGGGAAGCCACGTGAGATTTTTGCAAAGCCACGAATTAAAGCCATGTGGAAACCAAACATAACAATCCACTGTAGTAACTCAGTGACAGGATAATCCATACAGTGGCAGCACAGTGTGGCAAGGCAGGGAGAGTGGAAGCTTGCCTGTTGAAAGAAGCCTGTGTTACCTGGTGGCTACACTGAAGGCACACTCAAGGGCCACCAGGGATCCTGAGGCCACTTGCCACCAAGAGCCAAATCAACAGCTTCCTTGCCTCCTTTCCAACTAAGGACTAGACAGCCCCTGGTGGCTCTGGGGAAAGCCCAGCCACCCAATGGTGGCCCCAGTCAGCCCCAGGTAGGGTGGAGCGGATCCCACCAGTACTTCCTACTGTGGACCTGAACTAGGTGCATGTCACAAGTGGGGAAGGGACAGCAAAACCAACCTAAGAGGCCATGAGTCAGCCCGGGGCTAAATGCCAGGGGGCACCTTGCAGCGAGACTCCTGTTCCCTGTCACGAAATGTCCAAGGCAAGGTGCGGTCTAAGCTGGGTTCTAGGAGTGGCACTGAAGTGGCCTGAAGAGGTGGCCAGAGCACTGGACACAGAAAAGGTTCACTCTTCACCACAGTGAACATGAAGAGCGGGGGAAAACCAGAACTTTTTTCATTTGCTAACAGCACCTCTTCAATATTTTAAACCTATTTTTTTAACTTAAAAAAAAAATTCTGGTTTTTCCCCACTCTTCATCTTCACCATA